TAAAACCAAACGCTTTAAAGCTTGTAAAAAATTAAGTTTAGGTGTTGTTGTGAAATTGTGGAGTGATGGGAGAAAAGTAAACGGATTCTGGAGCGTTTAAAAATGATCAATTGACAAGAATTAATAATTTATTAATAAGAACGGAGATCTCCAAGCTACCATTGTAGCTCTTGTTTTTTTATATCTTTATTATGAGACTTTCAGCCCTGGGCTGGTTCGTCTCCTGTAGCTCTTGTGCAGTTACCAAAGCATATACATATTTTAATGATTTTGATGATTGACGCTAATATTGTATATTGCAATTTAAATAACATTTTATGACATACTTTACCAACGTACTTAAAAATATGCATCTACTGAAAATGCTGATCTAAATAAATATTGAATAAGATTTAATAATGTATGTTGTATTCAAAAATGACTAATTCAAGGCAAACTAGATAATTTTACGATTTCTAGAGGAAGCAACATCGAGTCAACCGGGCAAAGTGTTATTTTTTATGAGATTTCCAGCTATTTTCTACGTGAGTAGACAAATCCTTGCGTTACTTGGCCCAGTTATCTTCAGGATACTTATTGGTAAACATTGAAGAGCATGTGAGCTGAAATTGAGCTACCCGTTCTTACCCCTTTTGAATTTATTGTACACATTAGTTTATGTTTTTTTTTTCATTATTTTGACTAAATAGGGGAAATGGCTCTAATGTTGGCCTATGGATCTAAGATCAGGCCCATCACTAAAAATCTGCTATTTATCAATTTTATCTAGATGAACGCGTCATTGAGACGGTACCAATGGATATTTTTGGTCGCTATTGAAAAATGTAGTTGATTGCTGAATTTATGTATGGGCCCAAATTAGGGGCATTTAGGCTGACATTACATCCATTTGCCCTACGTAATAAATCATTAAATAAAATAGGTATTCCGTTAGGAATGTTCATTTTTTTTTCCTTGCTTGAATTCCTGAGCACCAATGCCACGAACGCCAGGGAGGCAGCTCCCACACCTGGACCCTACCTATCGATCCATCAACTCATGAACCGGGGACCAACAGCTTTACTTCCCTTCCGAAGAAAGGCGTGATCAGAGATGTTATGCTCAGAACAACCCGGCGGCGCCGACTGGGATTGAACCCAGGCCTGCTAGGGTGAGAGGCAATCACGCTTACGACTACACCACCCGGTGCTAGGAATGTTCATAAACTGCATAGCTATCTCGAGTTACTTTTTTTTATCGCTTTAACGCGCTTGGGTCATTCGTGGCTTGTTCGGGGGTGAGATTTGTACTCGTGACTTTGGCGTGAGAGGTATGGATGCTAACCACTATGCCCCCATCTCGAGATACTATTTAACTGAACAAATAATAATGAAGATTATTTTTTTTCACGGATTTGATCAAAATTTAAGAATATCTAATACTCAGTAAATTGTGGTTTTTTGACTTTTTCGGAAGAGTTGTTAACAAAGTTGAAACAAACAAATTTGTCCAGGATTTTTTTTTTACTATGATGCTTCTGTAAAATTTAGTTGTTGTACCTTCTGAACGGCGTGATCTGGAACTAAACTAATTATGCCAAAAGGAAGCCCTTATCAACCCGAACAACTTAAGTGGAACCGGTGGTGTAGTGGTAAGCGTGACTACCTCTCACCCCAGCAGGTCTGGGTTCAATCCCAGTTGGCTCCGCCGGGATTTTCTAAGGCATAAAATCTCTAAGGGAAGTAAAGCCGTTGGTCCCCGGTCCATGAGTTATGGGTCGATAGGTAGGGTCCACGTGAGGGAGCTGCCTCTCTGGCCTGGAGTCGGTAGCATCCCAACAAACAAGTTAGAGTCACAAATAAGCATATAGATTGAATAAATGCTTTATAACACTGTACAATGCTGAATAAAACGGGTTGTCAAATTATGTGCTCAGAAAACCTCATTGAGATAGATTATGCGCTTTATTCCGCTGATTGCTCTGATTTGATTAATATACTTATTAAAAGTTACACAAACGATGACTGTCTTCCTGATTCAACACCAGAAGTTTGATCTAATAACAAACTGAATAAGTGTAATTTTTACATACATTGACGCTTTAATTCGACTGTTTTAAATTGATTTAATAACATGCTTTATTATACGTCTAATAATTGTTTTCTAGCTCCATTGCATTGCTTAACAATATTGTAGAATAATGGTGAATACAGTCAGCAGAATAGCTCTTATACCACTATGCGTCCATGTTTTAATTTCATGCTTTGTAAATGCTTTACAAACGGCGTTTTCATTCATTATGTCACAACACTGCTTCAGGCTAACAACAAAACGAAATTGGTAGCATAGTGGTTACCGTTTCCGCTTTCCAAGTAGAAGGTCGAGAGTTCAATCCCAGCCTCAATCTTTTTTTTTTATTTATTTTCTACGCCTAATTAATTTAAATCGTAATCATAGATCGTATAACTCACGACAACCAATTCATAGATCTATCGAAAATAATAGCATTCTTTCCATCGAAATTAGAGAGATGGAGAGGTAACGTTGGTCTCATGTTAAACAACTATGAATGAATTAATCATTCTCACATCTTGAATAAGCTAGAGTTACGACTGGGAGTGCTGATAGGTTTTCAGAATCAAACTTTTATTACTTATTTAGCTGCCCTAATGATGTATTCTAGGATAGCTCAGATGGCAAGGCAAGCGGCTGGTGATCGGAAGGTCATGGTTCGAATCCCATGCAAACCGACATGTGTGCCTCGACAGAAATAAATGACACAACAATCACTAACGAGTACAACCCTGCTCTGTGCAGTTCTTATTTTCGGATTAATTATCCTGTAGTTGAATAATCGTTTAATAAATGTATAGTAGGGTCTAATTAAACATTATTTCACATGAGAATCAAGCGTCTTTATAAACCTTTATCGCTGTTTAAGGAAGTAAAGTCTAATAGATGCTGAAGAATCAAAAATTTTATCAAATAAGCTCTGTTACAACTTTTGTAAGTCGAAAAAAAGCTTCTCGACGTCGACATACCTTATTCTCAACACCAAATATTTCGATGTTGTGGTTGAACAAATTCTCCAAATTTGTGTGAACAAAGCCTGAACAGAAGTTATTATTAAAAATAGTACAAGTATTATTAAGCATGAAATGGAATAAAATCGTCAAGAAGTCGTTTCTTCAATAGGCATTGTTTGTTGGGATTGGTACTCAGTACAGAAAACAAGATCGACCTAATCGTTCTACTTGCAATATAAGGCTAATATATGGCTAGTAGATGGTTTCCGAACTTCAAAAAGGGCAATTGTTGGTTACTTGGGCTAGTATGGACCAACCTACAGAAAGGAAACCTCTACTAAACCGTAAGCGATCGTAAACCTAAAGAGATCGGTCATAAAGCACAAAATGTTGGAGATGACGTTTTCCATATCGATTGAGGATTTTATCAATTTGTAAATGTTATCAGCTTCGCTTGCCACAGGATATCAGTGTTACAAAGGAAAAGCCTTAGAAGAAAGCTCTTAATTGATCGATGTAGAAGTGCTCAAAAACACATAGCAGATATCAAACATCAGTTCTAATAGGATCGTAGAAATCCAAGATCAGCCTTTTGCTATTAAAGAAATTTCAGCATCGTGACCAAATGAGAGAATGGTTTATGTCAAATAACATCTTGCTCTATCCAACAATCACATCGAATTAAACATATTTCCAACAAAACAAATCTATAATAATCCGTTTCTGATACGCATGTAAACATTACAAGCAAAATTCAAAAATATTTTCTGTAGATCAAAAATAAAGTGTGCACTGCGAGACTTCTGCAGAATTCTTTTAAAAGGTTTTTTATTTTCAGATGGCATATTGCACATCAATTGTTGAATCTTTTGAAACTAAACTGTTAGTCTTCTAAATTTACAAAAATCAAGCTGAACATTGCATCAGTTCCTAAGTAACATTGACAGATTCCCTTCGTCGACTTTCTCTTTGTATCCCCACGGCCATGTCAAGACATTCCCAGGAATTTTCTGCACACAGATCGATAAATGATTCTGATGACAAGAAACGATGTTGTGCTCAAGTTATTTATTTTTTTTCTTTGATTTGTTTTCCGTCGATCTTGTTTTCCGTACTGAGCACCAATGCTACCGACGCCAGGGAGGCAGCTCCCACACCTGGACCCTACCTATCGACCCATCAACTCATGAGCCGGGGACCAACGGCCTTACTTTTCTCTTCCGAAGGAAGGTGTGTTCAGAGATGTTATGCCTCAGAACATCCCGGCGGCGCTGACTGGGATTGAACCCAGGCCTTCTGGGGTGAGAGGTAGTCACGCTTACCACTACACCACTGGCGCCGCTGATCAAGTTATTAACGAAAGAGAAAGTCGACGAAGAGAATCGATCAATGTTACTTAGGACCTAATGCAATGTTCAGCTTGAAATATCAGCCTTTGGGCCACACCTAGTTTAAACAACGCATTTGCCAAGAACGATTATTTTTATTTAAAAATTTGTCAATGATGTACAAATCTGTTCATCCTTCAAGAATATTTTTTGTCTAATGACTACAAACCATTGCCAACGAATTCATTAATTCTCAAGTAAAATAATGTTGTCCATGATTTGAATTTATTGCCCCACCATTATTCCATTAAAATATCTGTTAAAAATACCATTAGAGTCAATCAAATTGATTCTAGCTGTTAAAAATTGACCAACCCTGATGACAAATCACGAATCACAATCAATCAACCGCAGCCCATCTCAATGTCATAATCACACACATTAGAAACACCACACTATCTAAACGAACACTTCCGGGTTGCCCAACTTTTCCCATTAAGATTACACTCTTCACATGACATAATTTGTCATTTTCAGGCGGTTCCAATCATCGATGCCTGGGGCAGACACTGTTCTAGATTCCAACATATAGTATGCAAAATTTCACCCAGCAGCCACATACAAATTCCAATGAAAAGCACTAGCGGCAACAATAGTTCAAACTTACCCACAGAGTTGTTGGCAGGTCAGCTTCCAGTTCACGACTACGCTTTTTCCAGGCAAATCATTACTTTTACCGGTCGAGGCCACCGTCGATGACAAAGATGATGATGCTCGATGTGTTTGTGTTGGTGTATCCTGCGTGGAAGCTGCCTCCGATATAAGGACATGCGCAATCAACAGAGAAAGGATCCTCCAAGGCATGATGGCTATTTGCGGGTTGGGGTAACCTGGAAGACATATGTGCATGTGCCAACAGCTGAATATCGATGATGTAAATAATGCTGGGAAATGAGAAGGCGTGGATAATTCAATTTAATTAGAACACGTAGGATGAGGAGGACTGCGCGAGAGGGGAAACATTCAATTGGAAAGTCCAACGAATTGAGGGGAACACCGTTAAGAAAAGTTTGACTTCTGCCAAAAAGGAAATTGTGCTCTGCTGAGGAAAATCGATTTTTTGATTTTAGATTTTTCAATGGATTGGTTCACGATTTATAATAATCAGTTATTAAAGTGCAGTTTAAGATTACAACATTGAAATTAATTAAAGTTGCTTTTAAAGCTACTAAAACACATCACAAAGTACAATTAATCAACCGCAGCCCATCTTAATGTCATAATCACACTAGTATTATAAACAGCACATCTGGACAACGGACGCAACTTTCTCGAATCATCGAACCCTGAAGCGAATGATCTAGATAAAAACATAAAATGTAAAATTTCATCCAGACGATACATTAATACTCCACTTAAAAGCAGTAACGACGACAGCAGCAATACTTCAAACATTCGCAAAGAATGCAAAATACAACAATACGTGGCAGTAACAGTATCAAGGGTACTGATAAAAAGGATTTCTGCATTAAAAGTATGGAAATTTATTTGCAAAATAACCTTTTACACATTACTAAACCCTCATGTAAATGCTGACGCTACAAAATCGACACATGGTGGAGAACGACATATGCAAGCGCCCTATATACACAAAGTTCAGACTCAAAATATGAAGGATTCAATTCAATGGAACGACCATAGCATATACTTCTGTTTCGAGACCCTTAACTTCCCGTAGAACAATTGTTCACGATTTATCATTCACGTCAATGTTTAGTTAGACTTCGATTAAAGTTCATGGCATTGCATAGAACTGCTTTACCAGACGACCCAAACCTTTTGCTATGAGACTCGAGTGACATTCGAATAATTTCATACATAGAATAAAGGAAAATATTCTGAGGGGGTTTGATGAGATATTCTTTTACTTTCTGGGGATTTGATAAGGTGCAGCATAATTTTATAGCTTATGTTCTTAGCATCAAGTAGACTAGACACATTCTACGTGACGTTACAACGGATTTGGTCTGTTTGTTGACAAGTTATTGAACTGTCACCAGTGTTGGCAAAATCATCAAGCAAATGATATTTTTCCGCTCTCATACGCTCTCAAGATCACGCGTGATATATATATTTTTTTTGGGTATCAAGCTGGAGCTGCGTGACAGCTTAGTTTTCAAGACTTGACCCATTTGAATAAATTTTGCTTCTATCTTTGACAATACAGCAGAAGGACTAGCCTATGTTGGCCGCTTGAACACTGGATTCCGTATGTATTGTTTCAAGATAGTTATAGAAAAAATGCTGTGACGTGTGCGCGTAGATACATACATCCGCGTAGTAAACCGATTGAAGAAGTAAATCCGATTTGAACGAAATATCTAAATTATGTAAGTTACGAAAACCGCGTGAATTCCGAAAGCCGTGCGAGACAACCGAAGCGAGAAAAGAGTGCCACCAAAATAAATGTGATAGCCTATGTTGGTAAGTTGATTAATTTCGGTTTCCTCCCTAGATAGCTACCTATTTACTACTGAGCTTGGATCAAATTAGTTAATTTAAAGAACGTGTCAATCATTTCAAGATTTCACGACCGCACCGAACAAATTCTTTACTACAGAAGCTCAAAAGCGTTTGACAAGCTCTACCGAATTGCGTATCACTTCTGTGTAAGCTCCGTAGACGTAGACGCGTTGAATCTGACAGTCGGCAAAGGTTTAACCTGTACCAACACCGCTTAAGGAACGACCTCGAGTCAGTTAAACCGTTTAGAGCTAAACATCTAAATTACGTAAGATACGAAAATCGCGCAAATTGTGAACGCCACGCGAAACAACCGTAGAGAAAAAACAGCTTATTATCACTTAAAGAGTGCCACCAAAATAAATGTGATAGCCGATGTTGGCAAGTTGATTAATTTTGATTTCCTCCCTAAATATTCTACTTATTTTACTGTTGAGTTTTGTTTCAATTTAGTTATTTTACCGCACGTATCAATCATTTCAAGATTTCGCGACCGTACCGAACAAATTCTATACTACAGAAGCTAAAACAAAACTATTGGCGAGCTCTACCGCATTGCGAATCACTTCTGCGTAAGCTCCGTAGACGTAGGCGCGTTGATTCTGACAGCCGCGAAAAGTTAAATATGCATCAATACCACATAGAGAAAGATCGATTTTACGTATGGTTTAGTTCATAAATTAACATTGACTGCTGTTTAAAAATGTAAGTACTTGAACACTAAGAAATAAGTTAACTCAAATGCTTTAACCGCATATATATATATATAAGAGATTTTGCGTATTGAGAGAATAATATAGTAATCGAGTACAACAAACTCAGGGGAATACAATACCTCCAAAAGTTTAAAAGCTATTAATTGTCACATACCTCTACTTTTACTTATTTCCTAAACTATTCCTCTCCTTGTTAATCTGCTTAATGCTGCCTGCGTTTTCTTTTTAAAGTTCAAGACTAAATAAGAAGATTTATTCTACAACTTTAAAGGTTAGTTGCCTCCCTAAGCGGACCCCCGCATCCTAATTCTTTTGTTAATCTACTTAATGTCATTAGACTTTCTGAAGTTTCTTATTTAAGTTCATTTGATGATTATGATATCTCATTAGTCTAGTTTAATAAATTATTAAAAGCTCTAATTCACCGAATCAATCATAACCCATGCTTTATTAAGTACCTGCACTTGTGCTTGTAATCTAAAATTAAACGTATTTCAAGTACTTTTGATTTAAGCCTATACCTATTTATTATATCTTAGTTCGACCCAGGTAACACCTTCATGTGACTAAAATGCTTCATTTTGAAGTTAGTTTCCTAGCTGATTTTTAAATTATATAGGGTATATGCTCCAATTACGCTCTCACGTTTCCACTATGTCGCACCACAAAAATACATATGAGTATGTCACAATAGAAGCACACCACAGTGGAAATCTCGAGCCATAGTTCAAACACTTATCCCAAATCAAAATGAAGCACATATAAGATTAGTTACAATACCATGTACAAAAATGATGTTTAACATTGTTTCCTGAGTACAACAATGAAAGCTTGTCACGCAAATAGAAGGAGCACCGTTGGGTACTTTCTGAAATATTTCAATAGTATAATTCCCTTGCAAACCCAAATAAATCTATCTGCGTAAAAATAAATAAATTAAGAGTGATTTGCGGCAAAACCCGCCAGTATCACACCCAACGTCAGTGCCTATACGTAAGCGTACTAGGACGCGGCTCTCAATCAAAGGAGTAACAAGTGTGATACTATCACTGCTGGACTAGATCTTTGGTTCTCTCATGAAGTGGTTTATCAGAGAGGGGAAGCTTAGTAATCCCCATTGCCTGCCCATGGCGCCATTCTATCGCGACATGAGCCAGCAACGCCGGCCATAAACCTACCGTCTCCAACACTACACTATAAAGCATGAAATTAAGCCCGCCCACCAGCAACAAGGTGCAAAAACTAGCCAAGGGGAGGGCTCAAGATCACGCGTGATATTGGAACAAAATATCATGCTTGATATTGATTTTAAAAGCTCCTTTGAAATTGCGGGACTATTCACAACGTGCAAAAATCAAGCTGAGAGGTGACTCGGCACAAAAATGATTCCGGTGCACATCGTTTTCTTCGAAAGAGAAAGTATAGTTTGCTATCTCTTTTTACGCTTCACTGATGGCAGACACGAAGGGACTGCTGCCAGCCGTTATGGAAGTTTCGGTTGTGTTCGGTGTAAAGCAAAACTCATTAAACTAAACCTCACCACAGTTTGGTGAGATTTGTAGCTGGCGAGTTTTGTTAGCTTGATATTCCGAGCTGCAATATCACAGCTTGCAAAATCAACCGCAGTTGTTTGCTTGTTGATTTTTGTCTACGAAAATCAAGCGTGATCTTGGGGATTGGTTATTTTTGATTTTTTGATATTTTTCCAACACTGACTGTCACTGATAAAAATGATAGATGATAAACCCCTAAATATTATTGCAGATTTGGATAGTAGGATAAATTCCCTATATGAATTGGTTTATGATTTGAGTAGCTCAAAACGTTTTGGTGAGCACTTGTTTAGTAGTGTACACAGTTTGAAAAAAAAGGTAGTGTAAATTTCTGTTACTATGATGCATATGAATGGAGCGTCATATATCTTACATGTTTATATTGTCCACCTTTGTAAGCAACATTTATTGCAAGTTGCCGGTTTACGTGAAAATGAAGTTTACATGCATGAATGAATCACCAGTAAAATTCAAAAACATTTTTCTGTGTAGGTAAGAAGAGCATAACGTCATAACGTCATTCAAAGTAGTCACTCACTAAATCATTTTGAGCTACTCAAATCATAAACTCTAGCTAAATTCTTGTAGGAAATATATCACACTTTTCAAATCTGTAATAATATTCTACTTTTAATTTTCTTCAGTACCAGTAAAAAAATCTGTCACAAAATCAGACAAACACGTGGATTCATCCCGGTAGAATATGTCACTTGTTTACTTTGTATCCTCACTTATCCCTTTATATCCAATAAACTCATGAAGTCGAATAAAATACATCTAGAATGTTCTCTAACTTTGCTACGAATAATTATAGCGATATAAAATCTTGGACAAAATCATTTGTTTTTATTGTACTGACAATTGTCTAGGACAATTTATGCTGAATAACTAAAACATTAAAAAATTAGGTTAAAAAAACTAAACGGAACGTATCCCATGCGACGCACCTTATAATTTTGACTTTTTCAACAAAGTTGCTTGATTTGACATTTTCTGTAACTTTTCTTCATTGCTGACGACATAATTCCTCTATTTTTCTATGCAAGCAGAGTAAATATTTACGTTATTTGACAAATCCCAGGTAATCATGACATTCA